TTGATATAAATTTCCCTCTAGACACTGCTTTAAATGTGTCTCAGAGATTCTGGTATGTTGTGTCTTCGTTCTCATTGGTTTCAAAGAACATCTTTATTTCTGCCTTCATTTCATTGTTTATCCAGCGGACATTCAGGAGCCAGTTTCCATGAAGTTTTGTGGTTCTGAGTTAGTTTCTTAATTCTGAGTTCTAATTTGATTGCCCTGTGGTCTGAGAGACTGTTTGTTATGATTTCCATTCTTTTGCATTTGCTGAGGAGTGATTACTTCCAATTATGTGGTCAGTTTTAGAGTATGTGTAATGTGGTGCTCAGAAGAATGTATTTTCTGTGCATTTGGGGTGGAGAGTTTTTGTAGATGTCTATTAGGTCTGCTTGGACCTGATTAGAGTTCAAGTCCTGGATATCCTTGTTAATTTTCTGTCTTGTTGATCTGTCTAATGTTGACAGTGGAGTGTTAAAGTCTCTCACTATTATTGTGTGGGAGTCTAAGTCTCTTTGTAGGTCATTAAGAACTTGTTTTATATATCTGGGTGCTCCTGTATGGGGTGCATATATATGTAGGAGAGTTAGCTATAGTTGTTGCATTAATCCCTTTACCATTACATAATGCCCTTCTTTGTCTCCTTTGATCTTTGTTGGTTTAAGTTCTGTTTTAATCAGAGATTAGGATTGCAACCCCTGCTTGTTTTTGCTTTGCATTTGCTTGGTAAATCTTCCTCCATCCCTTTATTTTGAGTCTATGTTTGTATTTTCACATGACATGGGTCTCTTGAATACATCACACTGATGGGTCTTGACTTCTTATCCAGTTTGCCAATCTGTGTCTTTTGATTGGGGCATTTAGCCCATTTACATTTAAGGTCAATATTGTTATGTATGGATTTAATTCTGACATTTTGATACTAGCTGGTTGTTTAGTGTTTCTCTCAGGTGCTCTTGTAAGGCAGGCCTGGTGGTGATGAAATCTCTGAGCAATTGCTTGTCTGTAAAGGGTTTTATTTCCCCTTTGCTTATGAAGCTTAGTTTGGCTGGATATGAAATTCTGGATTGAAAGTTGTTTTCTTTAAGGATGTTTAATATTGGCCCCCACTGTCTTCTGGCTTGTAGGGTTTCTGCTGAGAGATCCGCTGTGAGTGAGTCTGATGGGCTTCCCTTTGTGGATAGCCTGACCTTTCTCTCTGGCTGCCCTTAGCATTTTTTTCCTTCACCTCCACCCTGGTGAACCTGACGTTTATGTGCCTTGAGGCTGCTCTTCTTGAAGAATGTCTTTGTGGTGTTCTCTGTTTTTCTGGGACTTGAATGGTGGCCTGCCTTGCTAGTTTGGGGAAGTTTTCCTCGATGATATCCTGAAGAGTGTTTTCCAGCTTGGATTTGTTGTCTCCATCACATTCAGGTACACCTATCAAAAGTAGATTAGGTCTTTTCACATAATCCCATATTTCTTGAAGACTTTGTTCATTTCATTTCACTCTTTTCTCTACTCTTGCCTTCTTGTTTTATTTCATTGAGTTGATCTTCAATCTCTGATATCCTTTCTTCTGCTTGGTCAATTCAGCTATTGAAACTTGTGTATGTTTTGTGAAGTTCTCGTGCTGTGTTTTTCAGCTCCATCAGGTCATTTATATCCTTCTCAAAGCTGTTTATTCTAGTTAGCATTTCATCTAACCTTTTTTCAAGGTTCTTAGTTTCTTTGCATTGGGTTAGCACATGTTCTTTTAGCTTAGAGAAGTTTGTTATTACCCACCTTCTGAAGCCTGTTTCTATCAGTTCATCAGATTCATTCTCCATCCAGCTTTGATCCCCAGCTGATGAGGAATTGTGATCCCTTGGAGGAGGAGAGTCGTTCTGGTTTTTGGTGTTTTCATCATTTTTGCACTGGTTTCTCCCATCTTTGTGGCTTTATCTACCTGTGGTCTTTGTAGTTGATGATTTTTGGGTCGGGCCTCTGAGTGGATGTCCTTTTTGTTGATGTTGAAGCTATTTCTTTCTGTTTCTTAGTTTTCCTTCTAATAGTCAGGCCCCTCTGTTGCAGGACTGCTGGAGGTCCACTCCAGACCCTGCTTGCCTGGGGCTCACCTGCAGTGACTGCAGAACAGTAAGGGTTGCTGCCGATTTCTTCTGTTATCTTCGTTCTAGAAGGGTACCCACCAGGTGTTGGCCTGAGCTCTCCTTTATGAGGTGTCTCTTTGGGTTTATGGGGATCGGGGAGCTGCTTGAGGAGACAGTCTGTCCCTTTTAGGAGCTCAAGAGCTGTGCTGAGAGCTCTGTTGTTGCATGCAGAGCTGCTGGGCATGTACGTTTAAGTCTGCTACAGCAGAACTCATAACCACCTCTTTTTCCAGGTGCTCTGTCCTACGAATGCTGGGCTTTCTTTATAAGTTCCTGACATGCTGCTGCCTTTTTTTACAGATGCTCTTCCCAGGATAGAGCTAGTGTAGGCACAGTCTGTCAGCAGAGGCGTTGCTGAGGTGCTGTGGGCTCTGCCCAGCTGCTGTGTGAACTTCCTTGAGGTGTTTTTTATAGAGGCACAGTTAGAACTGCCTGGGTATTGGTGGACTGCCTTGGTAGTGGCAGATGCCCTTCCCCCCATGGAGCTGGACCATTCTGGGTCCAGCTGTGCTTGCCACAATACTCTCAGTCCACAGCATTTCAGATTGCTTATTTTGTGGGGGTGGTGTCCACTGAGCCAGATCACCTGGCTGCCTGTCTCGGCCCCACCCTTTCAGTTGAATGGGTGGCTCTGTGTCTCAGTCATTCCAGGCACCAGTTAAAACGGCTGCCTAGACTTGTTTGAGTTCCTGTGTGCCAACCCAGGGCACCAGCTGAAATATCTGTGCTGGAAATTTGTGGTGCTTTTCAGCCCGGGAATTTCCTGGTCTGTGGGCAGTGAAAACTCATTTGGAAATGCGGTGATCTGTCACTCTCTGCGTTGTTCTTGCTGGGAACTGCACTCTAGAGCTATTCCTATTTGGTCATCTTGGATCTGCCTACTTACTCTTTTAAACAAAGCAATCCAATAGAAGAATATGGAGTTGGGACTCTTACATTAAAAAAAATATTGTTCTGTCAGCAAAGTATTAAAGTGGTAACTCCACAGCTTCTGCACAGCAAAAGAAACAATCATTAGAGTGAATAGGCAACCAACAGATTGGGAAAAAATTTTTGCAGTTTTCCCATCTGACAAAGGGCTGATATCCAAAATTTACAAAGAACTAAAGCAGATTTACAAGAAAAAAACTAACAAGCCCATTCAAAAGTGGGCAAAGGATATGAACAGACACTT